CAAAAAACACAAAAAATATAAGAAATCAAAGTTTGGGTGGGGTTTTAAAAAAAAAAAAAAAAAAAAAAAAGAAAGTGATGAAAACGGATCACATTACAAAAAAGTTGCCTTATTGAGTGAAACATTTCATTTGTTTTACGATAACTTACACACATGCATTTAACAACGACACAGACACAACTGCCCATATTACTGTATGAAGAAAAATCAAACACAGAAACCTTTGAGATGCAGCCAGGAAGCAGGATTTACACAGGGAGGATGTCAGAATGTCTGTCAGTGCTTTCACTTCCAGCCTGTTCTCCTTGTACTGCAGCTGCCATAAACATGATTGGAATGCTGACACCGGAAATGTCAGCTAACTGTGCTAAATCTTTCATGCCAAGGTTTAAAGCAAAAGAGCATCTTAAGAGACACTTCAGGCACATGTTAGACTGTCTGGATGATTGAGGACGCTGCCTGACCAGAGGCCATAAAAACCCCTTCAGTGTAGGAGCCAACAATTTTACAAAACCATGAGTGGGCACATGAACTGTGAAACTAATTTGAAGTTTTCAATCACTTTGTGTTTCTTTCAACCCCCAGCCTTGGTGTTCTTTCCCCATATGAACCTGAAGGTATATTGTCTGGCTCAGGCCTGTGACAAATCTGCTTTTGAGGTGAGCTGAACAGCCCTTGCCTTTTCTCTCTCTCCGTCTTCCTCTTGAAGTCTGGCCTGCAGTTTACCACAGATGCTAATGTCACCGTTGTGCAGAGCCTGAAGGAAGAGGTCTGTGTGTTCTCTCAGCCTGTCAAGGTCATTCTGGGTGTGTAAGTTTTGTTTAAGAAGCTCCTTGGTACAAAGAGTAATGTCAAGCAGACCAGATTTGCTAAGGATGTTGTAGGTGTTGCAGAAACGTTTCCGCTTTGTTTCGGCATCACTGTCACTCTGGTCACTTTCACCCAATAATTTTGGGTACATCTGATCTTTAGAAGTCTGGCTGAAAGGATGAGAAGTGTTGAACTCTGACTGATTAAATACTAAAGGACTTCTTTCAATGCTAGGACTGTTGTAGACACTGGTTTCAAGTGCTGAATGTATGGCAACTTGAGGACATTATGTTCGACGTGTAGTGAAGAAGTCGAATATATGGTGCGGTCCTGAGTTTCCTACTCGTGTGCGTGGTCTGGGGACACTTGTAAAGTGAGGTTCTGAACGTAATGTCCTGGTGT